AAAACTTGAAATGAAAAAATATTTCAAAGAAAAATTTTATTATAAATAATAAAATTTTTTAATTTATCATATAAATTTTTTTGAGTACTGGTATGGGTAATTAACCACTTGTAGATTTTTTTTATACATTAAATTTTAATATCAAATAAATAATTGAGCATTTTCTAACAAAAAATTGAAAAATAAACTTTTGTTTCCGCTTGAAAATCGTCAGGTTCTATTAAAAAATAAAATAAAAATATGAAGCAAGTATTTTGTAAATATTTTGAAAAGAGAAAATTTTTAATAAAGAAATTTTTTATATTTTAATCTTATAAAAATTTCTTATTAACTATTTAAAAAAAAATTATTCATTATTTTCAATATTAATATTTATTGACTGCTGTTCAAGTCTTTGTTGCTCGTTCGCAAATGTAAATGGAGCATAAAAATCAATTTGGATTTAAATTATTCATTTATGATATTTTTATTTTATATAAAAAATTGTAAGAAAAAATTAAAGCAAAATGTTTACTTATTTCTTTGTAAATTAGAAATTCACTTAAAAAATAGTGTTCATACAAAATATTTTTCTGTAAAATGCTTTTAAATTTTGTTCGTTTATAACTAGTAACATCAAAAATAATGATCGTGTTCCAAAAATTAATAAACATTTTTTTAACATTTTTCCTATACATACTTATTTTGAATTGGCATGCTAGCATTAAAATTTTATGTTTTCAAAACAATGTAAATAGATGTGTTGTTATTTTTATTTTATTTAATTACACTTACAATGCAACTATTTGAAAATCAGTGTGTTATTTTGAATTGATATTGAATTTTTTCACAAATTTGTTTTTTTTGTTATCCATTAATTTTGTTGCGTTTTTCTAAATAATCTCCGTAAGAAAATTTCCAAATTCTATAAATCAAACGTCAGCGCTTTTCAATTGAAGCAAACCACAAGAGATACGTCGTCGTAATTGTGTCTTTCAGTCATATCTTTAACACTAGTCGTATTGGCGTCAGTATCACACAAAATTATTTTGTAGTGTTGCAATGTGTTTTGCATCAGCGAATTTCTAATTGGTTTAACTGGCATCTAGAAATTAAAATTAAAAATTACTTAATAAACATGTCAAATATGAAAAAAAAAGAAACCATAAATATTTTTTTTATTGTTTTTACAAAACATGTATGCATGTATGTATGTATGTATGTATATAATTTTGGGCGAGTAAAAATTAAACTTCCTGATTTAATTTTATTACTTACTTTTGATCTTTTATGTTACTTATTATTAAATACATGCTGCTCCTTAAAATAATATGTAATCAAATGAGTAGGTTTTACAGTACTGTGTAAGAGCACAATAAAATAATTAAACTATCGATAGCCCGTTAGGTAAAGAGAGTCTTTAAACATAAAATAACATGTATAGAATGTAACTGTCAAACACTTTTCATAAATTAAGTACCTGATTATTATTATAATATTTATTTTGAATTTTAAATATGTATATGTGTTCTATAATTTAAATATTTACTATAGAAACAGTCACATTATCAATTTAAAATGTGGGTGATTAAAATAAATATTTACACAATACTATTATGGTTAAAATTATTACAATTCAAGTAGAATTTTTAATATTGTATTGAGTGTAATTGTAGGTGGATATTAAGTCGAACTATAAAAGAAAACAATAAAATAGGAAAAAGATTAAAGAATATTTATATAAAAAATGCTTATGCTTCCAATCAGTCACGTTATAAAAAATCAATCAAGTACCTACCTACCTATTAAATAAAAATCTTTTCATATTATCTAATTAACAGTTTCAATTTACAAGAAATAAAAATGTAAAAAAAAAAGTGTTGAAAACAAAAACGTTTAGTTAGTTGTCACGCATTGTTTACAAGCGCAATTTAAAACCGATCAAATCAGTATTAATTTTTTTTTTCTTATTTATTGTTTATCATTCTTGTTTGCCACCCTTTTACACCTAGTCCAATTTATCGTTTTTATATTCTTTTTATTTCTTTTCGCACTTTTATTTTTTTAGAAATTTTTTAATCTTGATGACTTTTGATTCATGACCAACCATGCTATTACTTTACCTAAATATACTTATGAATGTATGTATATATTTGTAGAATGCATGTGTATGTACAATTACCGAAATATTGTATTTTTAACGAAAAAATTTGTATTATCATAATTTGCTATTTTAACTCGCAAAACATTAACACAGTCATATTATAGATCAACGACATCTATACGTGAAACTTGTAATTTATTTAAACATTGTTTACCAATCATATTTCTTTATTGTATTTTTTTTTTCATATTCCTATTTAATTTCTTTAACAGACTGGCGCGGTTTAAATGGTTTGGTTCCTTTTTAATTACATACATTATTGATTTATTATACAACAATTTATATTTAATCGTAGATTATAGAGTATTTAATGATTTTTTATGACCATATTAACGATTATCAAAGAAAAGTGAAAATTATTTTCGCACATTTTATCGTATAAAAGTCAAATTGTTTTATTTTTTGCGCTATAAAATTAATTTCAGTTATTTAATATTGCATTTTGTATACATTTGTGTGGGTATGTATATAAAACCAATCATTAATTAAAATGCATTTCGCGGTGACTATTTCATTAACAGGTGGTGCTAACAATATTTTATTGCAGCATATGCATAATTATTGAGTTAAGATGACGTTTAATGACTTATTATATCTTTAGCGGAAGATAAACTTTTTTTCCTGCAAAATGGTTTAAAATTAAAAAAAAAAAGTATTAAAATTGGCGTTTAAAGTTTAAAACTTGTTGCAATTTAAACACATAATATCCTTGTGAAAAAATCAAAACGTAGCATTTATATAAAATGCTTAAAGTATAACTTTTTTTTGGTTTGTTGTTAAAGTAAATTGTTATTTTGCAATTTATACGATAGGGAAGTTACGCATATTATCTAATATATCAATCCGCCTATCAATGATCATTTACGTTTATTGCATTCTCATTTTACTTGAATTTTCCACAAAAATTTTGCTTTCAAAATTTTGGATCTAAAAAGCATAAGGAAATCTTTGCCTTGTCTCCTCCAAGTTTTCACGTCCATTATTGATTTTACCCATCTTCGGGCTTTGCATTATTAGATCTACTAGGAAGTATTTATATTGTCACGATCGTATTTTACAAAATGATAAAAATAGTTTCATAGGCTTTCCTGGTATCAATAGGCCCATGGAAGAGAAACAGGAAAGACCACTTTGCCGCAGTTTTTTTCGCATAAGTATATTATTTCCAATTACTTTAATTTTATTTGCCTTTTTCGGCTTGATTTTAGAGTTAAGTTCTATTTTTATCATTATGTAAAATACAACTTCGGAGTGCTGACATATGTTTGTCTATTTTGAAAAATCATCAAAATAGCAAAGTATTGAGAGAATTTTAGCTCTATATATAGTATGGCAATATTTATAATATTAATTTCTCGACAAATTTAAACTTTTAAACTAAAAAATTTCTTTGAAGTAAAATTATATAAATTGGTGTATAATATCCAATATTGTAAAAGTTTTTAGCTTAAATTTTTTAAGTTTTCTTTTCCAATTTTCTTAAAACATTTTACTAATTGTAGCAATTTAATATTTTTTATTCATGTATAATTAACTTGATTTCGTTTTCTTTTTTTTTGCATCTATGAAAAATATTCAAGTCAAGTTCATTGTCGATTAAAATATATTTATAAAAAAAAAATATTTAAATATTCGTGTAACTAGGTGTATGTAATTAAAAACAACCTTGAACATAATATCATTAAACATGGTTAACCTTTTTTATTTTTGCTAATTAAACACGACAAGAATATTTAAAATATTGTTTTTGTTTAAAAAAAAAAAAGCTTTAATTTCCATTTTTTTTTTATTTCTGATTTTATTTAATGTTTTAATTGCCATCATTTGACCATAAAATAACGCGATGTATTTTTAAAATTCATCACTTGTACAGTAAAATAAAATAATAATTTTGAATAATAATTCAACCTTATCCAAATATCATTTATTATTTTTTAATAAATGATAATTAAACATGGTAATCATGACTTCAAAACTCAAAAATAAACTTATGTACTTAAATGACAACTAAAAATAATTGTAAAATTATATTAAATTTTCCGCTAAATTAATTTATTTAATCATTTAGTAAAGAAAAACAAAAATTTTTTTAAAAGAAAGTTTTTAAAAACATTTCATCAAATTCAATGGAAATTCTATAAAATTTGAAAATCAATTTTAATAGTAAACGCTGTTTTAACTTGTCTTAATTTATGTTATTATTTTAAAATAGTTAACTTTAAATTGTTAACAAATTACTTTCTACTTCGAATTTGTTATAGAAAAGCGAATTTCAGAGGCCGTTTCCGCAGTATGCCAAAGGTTGACTATCACGATCATGTTAATCAAGTCATTTGATTTTTTAAATGATAATTTTCTGCGATTAAAAAATTTTTGTAAATGACATTTTAAAAATTCAAATGTTTTCATTTAAAAATATATTTATGCATCAAATCTTCTGCAATTGCAAAAGTCTAAGAAATAAAATAATAATCACTTGCAGAATTTTGTCGTGTTCCAATTCGTAACTAATGTCATTTACACGAATTTCGTTATGGAGAATTAGGTTTTTTTTTAATTAATCCAATTACTTAATTATAAAACAATAAAAACTTTAAAATTACTTTATTTTAAATATTTCTGTCTATAATAATTATGCCAATTAAGTTAAAATAACAAAACATCAGGAAATTAACGAAAAACGATTTTTTCCAGTAATTTTAGAAACAACAATAATTTTAATACTTTATTTCTTTAGTGCTTTTTAATAAAACAGTAATGAAAAGTATATAAGGGAAATGATTTTCTAAATTTATTTACTAAATGATTACTTTATTATTTAATATTATATGGCATGGAAATTTTTAGCCAACGCACATATTTTTAATATTGTCATTTTATTTTTCAAAAAAATGAAAAATCATTTCATTTTTATTTTGTTCTTATTTTGTTTTCATTGTATTCAAGTTTGCAATAAGATTGTATTTCCACCTTCACGATTAAATTTTCTACAAATAAAGAAAAATAAAATACTTAGACTAATTATTCTTAACTTGATTCACATTCTTATTATAATTTTTATTTTAATAATCGATTCTTTTAAATTACAAAATATAATATTTTTTAAACCAACGCTAATTATGACAAGGTCGCTTATTTTTCTTATTTTATGTACAATAAATAAATTTATGTATTATTTAATTTTTTCTTATATAAAATGAATGTGAATCGTGATTTTAACAACGTATTTATTAATTTTAGTAGAAAGAAAAGTTATTTGCATGATAATTATTCATAAATATAAAAAGTATACCTACTTAACTTATTGAAAGCTATCATAAATTTGCAATTACTTCACTTCAAGTACATAAAATTTATTCATAACTTGTCCTATGAATTTTATAGCACATTGGAATTGCTCGCTTTTTCCAACTCGCATATGCTGATATGTTTATCACATTTCTCAAAATAGGCGAGAATAAAGTGTACAACTTCAGTTCTAATAGAATTCATAATACAAACTTTGTAATGTATCCAATTTCCATTCATCAAATTCTGATATTTACGAAAATAAAGTTGTTTATATAATCGAAAAAGAAACGTGATTCAACTATTTCACTCCAAGCACTTTTTTTTCTTATTGTGAAACCTCCATATTTGATTTTTAAAGTTTTTTTTTCCTGATGGTTTGCAAATAAAACTAAAATTACAATATTAATAATTAATTATTTTATAATATACGTATGTATGTATTTAGTTCATTTCAAATTTAAAATATTCTTACACTTCGTTTTTAATATTTAGTCAACATTTTGATCCCAGTGTACAAACATAAAATCCGTGTTACTAAATAAAAATATTTGCAAAGCATTAAAATATAAAAAAAAAGTTCTCACTCATTTTCAAGTCATTTTACTTTTTCGAATATACATACATACATATATACTATAGTATTCACAATAGCCTCTTTACATACTATATTCACCATATACATAATTATCATAAAAATTTTCTTTCTGTCATTAAGTTAATCCACCGTGTAGTATTGTAGTTATATTGTAGTAAGTATATGGAAAATAATAATGAAAACCTTGAAGCAATTAAAATATATGTAATTGCGTTGGTGTTTAAGTTCACTGCTCATACAATGAAGTCCTTAAAAGTCATTAAGAATTATTTTAATGATACCATTTTTTTTTTTCATTTTCTGTTGCTTTCTTTCTTTTAGAGTTATTTTTTTTTATCTAAATAAATAAAACTTTAAGTTAAAATTTTCTCATTTTTTTTTTGAAAATTGTTTTCTTTGTTAAATAAATATTTAAAAAAAACACGTTAATATATGTGTTACATACATACATACATTTATTTTTCTTTTAGTTTTTATTTTCAGTTCAAAACTCACAAAAATCGTAATTTAAAATTATTTGCAAAAAAAAAAAATTTAGTACTTTTACTGTATAATAACAAACACAAAATAAGTGCTACCTTTAATACTAAAATGTTTACGTTCTCGCATACTTTACTTTAGATATGTACATACATACATATGTATGGACATATTGGTTGATAAATATGTACCACTCGTACTTTCATAGTTTCATATGTACATACATATGTATGTACAAACGACCTAGAAAAAAAAGGTTTCATTTAATGGATAGGTTGAAGAGTTTAGAAGTTTTTTAATTACTTTTTTTACTCCAATATTGATCGTATATAACCAAACCAATCAGTTGAAAATAACGATGATACATTGAAATATTTTCAAAGAAAATAAAATCAATACTTTATTTACCTTTCAAAGCTCATTAACTTTTTTTCTAACAATAAGGTATGGGTACTTTGTGTATATATTTGTATGCTATTGTACAGACGCTCTTATGTGCAAAAGAAAACACACTGATTAGATTAATGATTCCATTGAAGTTGAAGTGGTCATAATTTTTATTTTCTTTTATTTACAGTTACAAATACATTCCATGTAAAAATTTTATACATTTTTTTTTATACAGTTATTGGAACATTAAACTGTAATCTAAGTATTCGAATATGTTTATTTTCAAATTCAAAATTAAAAAAAACATCATAGGCTCCACATACCGACTTTTTTCTTTTAGATCCCATTTTAACCTAAGAAGTAACGTTTTAATTACTTGTACAAGTGAAAAAAAAAATTAAATTTTTTTACAGTTCATTTGTATATTTTATACACTATTCCTTTTTAATTTCCTGATAAAAAAAAAGAAATATTGAGCGCAGAAAGTATAAAAGAAAAATAACAGAAATTTTATGATTGCAAGTAAAACTTGTTCAGAAAGAAAAACATAAAAATCGGAAATTATTTAAATCTTAAGTTAAGAAAACGAAAAAAAAATATTTTTATGTAAGTATTAACAAAGATGCAGAAATACTTTTAAGTTTTTTTCCCACAAAGGCAGGCTTAAATAGTGAATAACTGGCCACTATAGTTAAATAAATCTTATATCGATCAAATGCAACTTGATTGAATGCATCTAAGAAACAAAATGTTTTCGAAAAATATACAATGGTATTCAAACAGGTTCTCAATCAAAATAATAATGATATAACTATTGTTCTACTCTTACTTAAAAAATACTTGACTAAATAGTTTAAAAAACCGTTTAACACTTCACTGTTTCAATTAATTTAAAAAAAATTTTTCTATGCAAAGGAAATGTCATTGAAGAAAAAATAATATTGCCCTTCAAACAGAATACGTCATGTAGACAAACACATTGCCTTGGTGTACAATCTTGGATTAAGAAATGTGTATAATGAACTGTAAATGCATAATACATATATATATATGCTCTTCCGCATTAATAAAAATAATACTATTGTAAAAAATATTCTAGTTAATATTCACACACGTTTATTTATAAGCGACATCTCTGTAAGGTTATCTTCGGAAATGTCAACTATTTTTCATAATTGAGATATCAAAATTCGAAAATCGTTTCTTATGAGAAAGGTACCTACTTACGAAAAGAATTTATTTGTCATGCTTTATTTTATGGCCCCGTTTTTATTTAGATCAAATGCTTCTTCATATGCATAAAGGGTTCTGTTGTTACCACAAGTAATTCTGTTGCTACAACCACAGGAGGTAAATAATATTTCAAATGGAAAACAATTAAGAGGTGCGCGTACGGAACATTTTACTTCAAAAATATTTTAGTGTTCGTTCTTGTTCGTACTCTGAGACTTCAGGCTATTCTCTTTAAATTAGTAATTTTAATGATAATTTGTATTGATTCATGTATGTATGTATATTATATTTGCTCTAAAATATATTGGTAGATTTTACGATAAAATGTGAGAATTTAAAATAAAACCACAACATTTCTTGTTATTCTTGTTCTGGCTTTTATTTGAATGACTTAAGAATTTTGTTATTAATGTTTTAATGATTTTCATTTTTATATGAATTTTTTTTTTTACTAATTTTTCTAGCAGTGTTTCATGTAGCACATAAGTGTAAGAATAACATAATACATTCTTACATACATACATATGTATATACGTACACATGTAGCCCATATAACCTGTTGAAACCCAAAGCAATCTAACATTTTCTTCATTTCAATTACTTTTGTTCTTATTTTTATAATTTTCTCATTTTATTTTATAATTTTTTTGTCAGTGAAAATAAAAAAAAAAGAAAATATTCTTATTTTTTTTATTATTATCTGACGATATCTCAAAAAGTTTTTCGCACTTTCGTTCTTACGTTTTCTAACTGTTTTATTTTACCTGATTTGTTTTTTTTACTTTTTGGTTTTTCTTTCATGTATTTTTAAATTTAATATGGTTACATAAAATGCACGTACAAAAATAATTATACGCGGAAATTCATTCAAATTTAACAGGTAAAAACTGAAGAAACGGTGAATATATGAAAAACGGTTTAATACGGCATTCTGGTTTTGATAAGAATTTTATTTGAGAAAAACACATGCGCAAATCTTAAATTGTATTTTCGCAATTAAAAATACTTGTAAGTATAACTGTTTAAATAAAATGCTATTAAAGTCAAGAATCAAATTGAATTCGAGTAATTTCTGATTTTTAATTTTCTTATAAAAACAACTAACGGTGTATCTTTCAGTTTTATTGATTTATGAACCACATATGTATAATAAACATTTAAAAATAATTTTTTTATTATTTTTAAAAATAATAAAGAAATAATTTAAGATTTTTGTTAAATTTATCTTAATTATAGACACGGCAGTTCTTATACTTACTACATATTATTAAACTTCAACTACTTATAGACTACAATAAAAATATGTCGCTCTTTTTTATTCTAGGTAAAAGAAACACAAAAAATAACCTCAATTTTCAAAAATTTTCTAGATGCGCATTACATAATTTCCAGAAAAAAATATTAAAATGAAAACTTAACAAGTTTATATTACAAATTAAGCAAAATTAGTAGTATAGTGTATAAAATTTAAATTATGTAAAAACTGAACAACATGCAAAATGGGAAGAGTATTAACAAATATTGAACGACATCAAGCCCAATAAACAAACTGAATCACAATTTAAACGATTGGTTTAGGCCAATGGTTTCACAATTAGAAAATGAAACCAATTACTTTCGAATCGATAAGAAATTTTTGGCGTAATAAGAAAAAAGGTAAAGATAAAGATGGAGTTGGTATTATGGATGCTAGTTTTAAACGTAGCGATTCATTTAAACGAATCAGTATACGAAAAAGTTACTTAGATCGTGGAAGAAAACGTGCTGCATTAAGAGCAAGAGCAATTAATTCAAATTGTAATTTAAATAATGGTGATAACAATTCTAACATTAATGAAAATGTTTTAATACATTCTGATAGTACAAATAATGCAATTAGTAAAAATTTAAAAACAATTATTCACACATCATCTTCCACATCAAATGCTTACAACATTTGTGCAATAGAACCAATTATATATGAAGAAAGCAATGGAAAACTATCGACAAAAATAGATCGATCATGTGAAAATTTAACTGTGATTCATAATACATCATCATCATCAACGAAATCTACGAATAATTCAAATTTAATCAAACAAATCGAAGTGAAAAATGGAATTTTTATTGGTTTAAATGGCTCCATAGAAACCCAATCTCAAAGTAAATATTCATCGTCAACAAAAACTACAGAAATTTCTGATAATAATGATTTTGGTAATTCATCATGGAACAAATCATTGAATCATTCATGGAATTCATATGAAAAACTTGATAAAAAATTTTCCAATTCAGATTTAAAACCGAATTTAAATAAAAATTCATCCGATAAGGAAACTGAAATACAAATCATATCAGTAGATTTCCAAAATAATTCCTCAAATAGTAGTGAATCAATTTATAATGATATAGTAAGTAATAATGAAGATGATTGTAGTGATAATGGTCAAATAAATAATTGTAAACATAATAATATTTCTAATATAAATATAGTTAGTTTCGGTACATTTACAAATGAATCAAATAAAACTGACGATAATCGAAGTACAATATCATTAACAAATTATTCTGAACCAAGTCAGTATGAAAAATCAAATGCAGTACGGTTAGAATACAATTCAATAACATCATCGAATTCTAATTTAAATGATAAAAATTTAATAACATTTAAAACATTTACTCCAGCAAAAAATTTTCTCGAAACAAATTTCGATTGTATTGTAGATCCTATACATCAAAGTTGTGCATCTATAAATAGTATTAATTCAAAAACATCATTAAATATATCAAAAACAAATTTAGTATATCATACGAAACCTTTGAGTAAGTCGCAATCAAAATCCATACAATCAATAAATTCTAGTCATAGCATCGGTAGTAGCAATCAAGAAAGGCAACAACAATCAACAAATGAGAAAGAGAAAGTTGTTATACACATAGCAGCTCAGGATAAAAATGATAATGAAATCACGGACTCAGATGACACTTATGCTCAAGTAGTCGATGCATTTTCATCTTCGAGTAGTCGAAATTTCAAAAATAACTCACTCCATTCTCCGACGACGCCAACGGAAAAGTGTAAAGAATCAGAAAAAGTTTTGCAGCCAGCAATTCCAACAAAACAGCCGCCAGTTAAACCAGCTAGAAAACAACTTCCTGTTCAAAAAATACCATCAAGAAATTCATCATTTTCTGATATTCATTTTAGTACAGCAAATGAAATTACTCCAGTTAGTAAAGAGTTAAATTTAATTGAACCGGTATCACCAACAGAGAAACATTATGAATCATTTTTATTTGAACAAGAACAGCCAGATTTAGATTTATATGACGATTCAAATATAATGTCACCAAATAATTCAATACCTTACCAATTGCGAGTAAAAACGAATCCATTTACGCATCAAAAAGAGTTGTATTCAGTCAATTTAGGAAGGGTATGGAAGCAATTAAATTTAGGGCAAGATGAGGATTTATCGATTGATATAAGTTCCAGTAATCAAAAAAAGAAAAACGAATCATTTAAATCAATGTCCTCACGTGATTCTGGTTTCAGTTTAACATTAACAAAACCAAAAGGTATATTTAGAAGACGATCAAAAAATTGCAATCAAAACTTAAAAGGAACAATTAATGGAGGCCGAGATATTAGACGTGGCCAAATTATTCAAAGAAATTCTTCGAAACGACGGAAATTAAAGCGATATGACATTAATGGTCGTCCAATTTATACAAATAATGATCATTTTTTAAGGGAATTCGAAGAATTTTGTGCAGTACGTCGTCAAAGATTAAAAGCCTATACTAAACAAAGTTTAGATGAAATTGATCCATATTGTAACAATGACACATTTAACAGAGAAATAAGCGATCTAGAGGCATTTTTTGAGGAACATTTAAAAAGACTGAAAACATATTATTTAGAGCGTAAAAAAATTAATGAAGAAACTTTAAATCAATTCTATAATGATTTTATTACATCAAATGAGATACATAAAAAATTTAATGCATCAAGTCATAAAGTCGAGTCCACTCAATCTAATAAAAATATAACTGGAGGTGAAGATACACAAAACGATTACACATTTCCGTATCCAGATAAAAGAAATCGAATTAAAACCTCACTTAATAATCTAATTAGCAATTCTAATAATAATAAAAATAAAAAGCAAAAATGTCTTTTTCAAGAAGTTCGAACATTCGCAAATGATGACTTAAAATATGCTTCATTAATTTTTGAAGATCAAGTTAATAACAATTCCAGAAAAAAATCAAATCACAAGCATTATTATGAAAATGATTCTTTTCATTGTCCTCGTCCAAGATTGTTACAAAAATCCAAACACGAAAAGATTCCATATGCTGATATTGATTTCGAAAGGAAATGTATTTCAAATTTCCCAATTACTACTACAAAAGACCTATTCGATTACCCAAAACATTGGAAAATGACAGAGACTCGTCATCATAAAAAATTACAACGGAATCGTCGCAATCGTAGTGGACGTACTCGACAACGTTATAGAAAAAATCAACAATTTTCAAATTGGCCTTTAGATTCTTACAAATCAGCAAAAGAAATATCGTTAGCCCATTGCTTTCCATCGATAAATGATCCACCAAATCGATCAGTTTGCGATAAGAAAAAATTAAATCGAAATAATTCAATTTGTTCACCAATTCCAATAAATTCGGATGGAACATGTTGTAATTGTTGTAAATTAGTTAAAAATGGTATTAGTATGAGTGATTCAAATGATTCAAATTCAAACCGCTGTTCATTAGCTAGTGATACTGATAACGATAATGATGATGAATTTAGTGAAAATGAATTTTTATCAAATTGTGATGTTTGTTGGGATTGTGACAATCAATTAGGTGAATGTATTTGTGATCCACCTAAACAAAAAAAACAAAACCCTAAAAAAATATCTAAACGAAATAATAATAAATCGGGTCGAATTGCATCGGAATATTGTAAATGCCCGCGCGTATATAAAATTTCAACAGAAAGTGACGATAATACGGATGATAATATTAAAGATATAAGATATAATAAAGTGTATTTAAATATTGATAAAAATAAAGAATATATAAATGGTGATGGTTCTGGTATTATTGCCAGTAAGAAGAAAATTAGACGTAAAAAATCAAAAAGGAAAATCGGTAAAAATCATTCGACGCTGCGAAGGAAATACACCAATTCTACTATCTGTGAGTATAATAATGAATAATTTTTATAAAATATCAAAGATTATTAGAAGCGAGCTGCATTGCGGCTTACATTTTTATTTGAAACAATCTGGTTCGACGTGTCTCTAAAATCCGAGACATATTGTCTTGGAGATACCCTGTGCAGAAAATCATTTTAAGTTTATTTTTATTTTTATTCCTTGATACTTATTAAAAAAGCGAAAAGAATGATTGTAATTCGTTTCTAAAATTGATTCTTCAGTTAGGTAAATTGAAAAAATAATTTTTCCTCTAAATTTTTAGTTATTCTTTTAGCTGTAGGTGATTGCCACGTATGAAATTGCCACCAAAAAAAACTTCAACTTAAAAATAAAATCAAGAACTCAAAATAAAATCAAATATAGCAATGAAGTTGATCGATTGATCAGTGATCGCTGCACCATTATCTTGTAAACAATTTTATTTATTATATGTGGTTTTTATAATACAACAGCGAGAACATGACAACTGCAAAAGACAACATAAATTCTAATATTAACTCATATTTTAGATTGTTGGAATTATGTACTTATATATGTATACATATATTCTATTTAATATTTTCAAAATAGATTGGGCGTTTTCGGGCGCCAACTTTATTATACTATAATGTAAACGTGCTAGTATTGTCCAAATGTAATTATTGATAGATATAAAACTCTGAATATTATTGTATATAACTAGATTTACATACCTTAAAAGGTTAGTCAAAAATGCACATGTATTTTACATCCATAATTTTATATACGTATATAGTAATCCAAAAGGAATTTCTTTTGTTCTCTTCTAATGTTCACTGTTATTATAATTTACAGTAGAATCCACAAAACAAAATTTAGTTATATTTTTTTGATTAACTCATTTTTTTTGATTTCGGTAATTTTTTCTGTAAATATCACCATATCTCACGGTAACTAACATTAGCATACGAACAAAAACAAGGAAAGAACGTCCGTGGTCTCCGTGAAGCATAAAGGGTTGCAGAAATAGAACAAATGAATCTATAAAATCGATATTCTGGGAACAACCGCAACAACATGCGGGATTTGCACCATTTAATTAATCAACTTACCAGGCGAAGAAAGAGCACAACACGGCCAATTAGAAACAAAAATAGCAGAAAGAAAACTTAAGCGAAATAGGGCACCAGGTAGTGATGGCATAACAGCGGAAGTGCTTCAGGAGCACACACATGTGCCAAACATGAATTAGAACCACAAATAGCATAAGCACGGAGTGAAGAAAATGTTGCGCAGTCATAGAAAAAGGAATCCAAGTCGAATTATTCTTCTTATATAAAGAAGCCGAACCCGAGTAATATACAAAGAGCAAAAAGCGAATCCTTTTCCACTAACCCACTAGTTAAACAGCGTTGGCAACTGTCAAAACATCAAAAGCCATCGGACAGAGGCTACAGGTCTTCATCAACTGATGTCTCAGAATCATATGCCGAGAAACTATTAGTAATGAGGAGCTCTGAATAATAACAGGCGAGCAACCTATTGACAAGCGAAATACGAAGGAAATGTGGAGGTAGATCGGGCATACTCTAAGGAAACTTCTAAGTAACATTGCACAGAAGAGCACAATCCACAAGCAAGAATGGTCACCCTCGAAATACTTGGCGAAGATCTGTAAGTGCGAAATTTGAAAGCGCAGTTTTGAAATGGAATCGAGATATTGGTTAACACAGTTATTAACAAAATTTATTTAAAATAATATTCAAAAAAATAATGTGTTCAAAATCAATATCGCGTACTGTAAAGCCATTTTATAAATGCTGTATGTTTCCATTTACCAATTTCTAGCTAGACACATGATACATATACATACATATTGTTTACCTATATTAAATCTCGTAGGTTTAAATTGATCTGTTCTCTATAATACAAATTTTATAATTCTATTATGAAATATTTAAGAATTCAGAAATGAAATCAAAGATATCTCGATTCAAATATTACAAAAAAAAAAAACAAAGAGAGATCTTAAAATTGGGTCACAATGATATTATTTTTTTTTTGTTATACATAGCGATAGATAAATTATTGATAGAATTATTTATACACGCGTGTTATACGGCTACTCAAACCACACACATACATACACTTTAATTTAATATAATGTCTATGCTATCAAAATATTTTAGAGCAACAATAATATTTTTTTGTCGAGGTGGAATTAATTTTGCATAAAAATAAATAATTCAAATGGATTAGGATGTTAAAATACTTAAATATTTTTCATATCTTTGAATATTTGAAAATTGACATTTCCATATAGCAGAAAAAAATGACATTTTTCGATAACATGATTGATTTATTAACTTGACTTCATTAAGGTTATAATTTAAGTTTAATCACTACAGACAAATATGTAGCATGTATTTATTTATGTAAATACTTGTGTATACTTCTCATACAAAAATAATATTAAATTATGAAAAAGAAGACTTTTAAACACAATGCCATACCTTAATACCCTCTTCTACATGAATTATTTTTTGCTTTGAATTTTTATTGAAAATTTATTGGTATAAATTTGAATGAAGTTTTCAATATTGAACTTGCGCCAAAAATTAATTTTGTTCATAAAATATTCTAAACACATTAAATTTTGTATGAAAAGCGGTTCTTACAAAAAATAAAGTATTTAAACATTTTAGAAATTTGTAGAAATCAAATGCGTATGCAATGCTTCTGATTTTTTTGCTAATTTGCACCTATTAAAATTTTAAAATAACTTTTCAAATTCAATAACCTAGCAGACATCAAATATTATTTTACAAGAAATTATTTCGATTTTTATCATAAAATAATTATACGTACATGCTTACAATCACTTTTAAAAAATTTAATATTATTTCGGGTCTGTTTACACGTGTATTCATTGTACGTACACAACACAGCCCTTCTTTTATGCTTCTCACAACCTCTCAAATAGTGCCATTCTCTATAATTTTTGGTATTTTACTCAAACTAATATGAAAAATAACATTACTTTTTATTAAATTTCGATCAAATATGACATTGAATTCTTTATTTTTATAAATTTAAAGAAATATAAAATTTCTTTTAAACCATTTCTTGTACAATATTACCTACTTATTTATGTATTATCTAAATTATCATCAAAAAAGATATTTGCCTACTTTTATTTGATTGTAAATCAAAACCGAAATTTTATTCACAAATTTCAAATGTAATTATTCATATTTCTTTTGCGTTACCTAGCTAATTTTTACTTTGATGTTTTTGATATTTTCGCTGTTTTGATTCAGAGAGCTTAATGTCAAAATCTTGAAGTTTTCAATTTAAACTTTATAAACATATACGAGTATACGAGTATGTATATTAAAAAAGTGTTTGTAATGATTGGCAACATATACATATTCGTATAAATATATCAGAATTACATTTTTTTTTACCATGGTACCTTTCAAGAATAATCATTCACAATAGTATATTATGTAGGCCATTTAATTATTCAAAAAATAAAGGTATTGTCGCATAGTGTTTGTTTACCTATTATGAAGGAGAAAGAAGAACCAAATAAATACAGGAAAAAAAATGTTATCTAATTCAGGTCTTAATTTTTTTTATGTGTAAAATTTGATAATCTCAAGTATAAAATTTAGCGAAGGTCATCAAAGCAATTTTCGGTATTCACTTTTATATTATTGTGTTTTTTACGTTGATAATTTGCTGAAAATTTTTAATAACTAAATAAACACAATTGAATTTTTTCTTTTCTTCTATTTTTATTACAATAATAATAATATTTAAGACAAGTATGGTATTTTTATATTACTTAGAAGTTAACCTGTTTCCTAGATTGTCTATATAAGAACAATATTTTCGATTCATATATAAATATACCGTTGTATATTTCCCATTATTTAATTTTAATTATTCACCCATATCTGTAATTTTTAAATTTTACATCTTCCTATTTCAAATTAAGTAAATGTTCTTTATGTATTTGTGCCTAATATATTTTAGTTTTGTTACCTGTGCACACACTATTATAATTTGTGTTGCGGCCGCCGATTCGTTGTTGTCTTCTTCTTTATCTTCTTTTATAGTTGAGAGATGGCTCCGTATGCCATTAATGGAAATTTAATAGTTAATTTTAGATTATATTTTACTTAATTTGGAAATTTTTATATATTCAAATATTCGGTGATCAAAATATACTATAAACGTAATTAGGAAAAAAAAACATTAATTTAATTTAAAAAAAAATTTCAATCATATTTTATTGATAATAGAGATGGGAATTATATATGTGAACACTATTATAATTTACTGTAGGCGTTATTATTTAGCATTAAATTTTAACTTTTGTTTTCAATTTAAAAATTTTATACTAAAAATTTCATATATTTATAGATAAGTACTATGAGTAAAAATACTATTCACGTTTTTAAAAGGTGATTTTTAATAATTTATAACATATATTATGATTTTTATTAAAAAATATTTCTTGAAATTATCTTTTTGCTACTGAGAAGTTAATAATAACAATATATTAATATTTTCAATATATAAGGTAATTCTGTCTCATTTATTATTATTATAAATGGCAGTTATTACAGTTATAGTAATAATATAAAAATTATAAGGTGACGAATTAAATAATTCTAAATTAAGGTATTTAGAATTAAATCAACTTTTGAAATTGAATAATTTATAAAACCTCTTTTTAAGTACTAATTAGAAATAATTGATTTAATTATTTTCTATTTAATTTTTATTAATAAAAATGAACCTTAATCAATCAAAATTGTACGTATTATATGTAAGTACTACTTAGTAGTACTTACATATAATACGTATTGCGTACTTGGTCTGTGGAAATTCTGTAATATATGAGTGAAAACTAGCCTTTACATTTAAATAACAAATGACATTTATTTTCTATATGAAAATATATAAGGCCATCTATCGCTTTTAAGTATAAGATGGTGTATAAAGTTGGTA